ATATATATTAGATATTATGTATTCTAAATTAGAAATATTAATTATATTACTAGAAACCCAAAGTGTTCATTCTATTGTTAGTAAAAGTAAAAACCCAACTCTGAATAATAAAAGCTCAAAAATAACCATAAATAATAAAAGCCCAACCCTAAATAATAAAAGCTTAGAAATAATTATAAATAATGAAAACCCAGAAATAACTACTAATAATAAGGACTTTAAAATAATCATGATCAATAAAAAATGTAAAAATAGATTAGAGTTTTGGATCTTTAAAGAAGGCCACTTTATTTAGCATCTTCAAAAGAGTAAAAATACTTGTTTATTTTATAATTGTTAATTCTGTAATATATATAATACCTATATTATATAATTTATTAGAAAATTTTGCTCAATGTATCTACTGTAAAAGTGCTTTAAAACATGATAATATGACCAAAACTAGTTTTTTAATTTGTTATATAAAAAATACGAATTGCAAAAAATATATAAAGGTTGATAAAACACAGCAAATGTTGCAATTAGCAGCATTTGGTCTTGTTACCTATAAGTTTTCTCAAAAAAGAAGTCATCAAGATATGATAGAAATAATTATTAGATATGCATATCCATTTTGTACAGTTGAGCATAAAGAATTTTTAAAATTCATTAATGGTTTACAACCACAATATAAAGTAATAAGTGAAAAAATAGTGTATAGAAATTATACAGCTATTATTAAAACAAACTTAAAATAAAAGATTGTACAATAATAAATGAAGCCTCTAAACATCTCAGCTATATGACCAATATGTAGATATTGAACCAAACACTTGGATATATAGTTGTTACTTGCCATTTTATTGATATAAATTGGAAACTTCAAAAACTAGTCATTGCATTTAGAATGGTTTCCAGTCCATATACAGAAATTGCAATTAGTAAAACACTTTTTAAATGTTTTAATAATTGGAACATTATATTAAAGACATTAGCAATTACTATAGACAATGCATTTAGTAATAGTGTTGCAATTGCTAATATAAGACACAAGCTTAAGAAGCAAAACATACTTATTGCTAATGGAATTTTATTACACCAATGTTGCTATGCCTATATATTAAACCTTATTGTTAGTGATGGTCTCAAAATAGGTAAAAGTATTATAAACAAAATCTGAGAATATGTGAAGTAGATCTACAGTTCACAACTTAAATAACAAAAATTTGAGAATGTAGTGATTGGATGCTGTATTGAAATTATATCAAGTTAATGACCAACTCTCGATATACCTACTCACTAAAATTCCATATATCTAATATTAATATTTACTATTCTATATAAAAGTATATTTGAGTAACTTGCATTGCAAAATATCAATTTTGAGCAAATCATGCCTTTTGATGAAGATTGGAAAAAGGCTAAGAGCATTTGTGATTTTTTAAAATATTTTTATGAAGATAATAGTAAATTTTGATATTTTATTAAAAATATACATTAATTGTTTATTGTTTATTTTAATGCAATTACAAATATTATATCAAAAAGCACATATTTGACAGCAAATATATTTCTTTTTTATCTAATAAAAATTAAACTACATCTTAAACAAAATGCTACCAACATAGATTTTTTTATTTGTCAAATGGTTATAGAAATGCAATTCAAGTTTAATAAGTATTAGGCAGATATAGGAGATATACATTGCATTGCATCAATAATAGATTCTTGCTATAAAATGTTACTACTAAATTATATATATAAGTATAAAATGCACTTATTATATACTAAAGCCAAGAATAAGCTAACATTTATTAAAGAGAGATAAGTTAATTTAATAATATAGTATTGAATTTCACTGCTAATTTAATAATTATTACTTTTATATATAATTATTGGTTTTCATAATTTGGCCAGATCATGTTTTTCATATTATAATAATAGATAAATTTTTTTAAAAAAAAAGAGCTACAATAATTTACAGATCAACTTATATTCAAAATATAAGTTCTTTTGATAATTATTATAAATTTGTTTTTTCAGAAGATGATTTAATGCAGGAATTTAACTGTTATTTCACAGCAAATTATATTAATACAATAAACAAAATAGATGAGTTTGAGCAATATTTTGTTAATTCTTTTCAATCCTATTCTTGTTCTAAGCTATTTGCATTCTAGCTTGATAAAAGAAAAATGAATCAAGATATCTTTTTTTGTCATTAATGGCAAGAAATATTTTTGCTATTCTGATAACTTCAGTAGTTTCTGAAGTAGTAAGTCAAATTCTAGTAAAATTCTAGCTTACCAACATAAGTTAACATATATTATTCAGATATTTAGTACTGCAGAAAGAACTATTAATGACTATCGATCAAACCTTAATCCAAAAACTATTAAAACTTTAATATGTAGACAAGATTAGTTGAATAGTGCAAAGGAACAAGGTTAAACATAATAAAGAGTAGTATATTACATGTTTAAAACTTGCCAATTTTTTTTTTTTTATAAAAATTTACACAAAGCAAATAAACTGTATCTACTAAACAGAGAATTCAAAATGCTATAAATCAAATTAATATAATAAGCAATTAAACAGTTAATGGTTTGGTTAATATTAATTTGAAATAAGATACTAAAATATTTGTATAACAAAAACTACTGTACTTACTATTAGATAATTGTCATTGTCTGATATAAATTTTCTACCTTATTTTTTTATTTATTTTTTGTTTTTGTTTTTTTAAATAATTAAGTTTATTAATATTTTTAGTTTTATTTTGAATATTATATATTAAGATATAATTTGTAATCAAAATTCACAAACTAATGCAATTATTAAATCAAAATCCAAATAATAGTCTTGTATATCAAAGTTATATCAAGTCATTGTAACACTTAATAAGTTAGTTTAAAAGAAATATAAAAAATAAGCAAATTTAATTCATTATATTTATAAAAAAAAAATAATTAATTAGCAAGGAAAGTATTTAATTTAATAATCAGAATATTTTAATTTTAATTTTTGTGTATACTAATTATTTTATATCTTAGATATTAATATAAATTAATAATGATAAGATTCACTCTTGCTAAATGCACTTTATTAAATAAAACTACATAGATATAAAAAAATTTAATTAAAGTTTACCAATTATTATTTATCTGACATTTTGTTAAATTTGGTAGTTCAACTCTTTAAATGCAGAAGCATGAAGTATATCTTAAAATTGGCTAAAACTACTATCTTCAAAGTAACTACTATTGCTAAAGTGATTATTAGAGCCATTACCACTATCATGACTGATGAAAGAACTACAAATGTAAAAGCTTTAATGGATGGTACCACAAATGTTAAAGCAATAACCACTGTACAGAACTATTATAAACTGAAAAAAAATTACTTGAATGAAAAAAGGTAAGCTTTTTAATAAAATTAAAAAAGTTTGTAAGGAAATTATGCTTAAAATACTTTGTAAAATCTAAAGGTTGTATGACAAAAATATTTAGAATTGCCAATTATGCAATAGGGTTTGGTTCTGTTCAAAAAAACCTACTCAGAGAAATAATAACTGCTAAGGCAATGACCTTCATACAGGAATTCAATAGACTTATATTATTATATTTTGCCATTTTTATTGTATAATTTAACAAAAAAAAAGTTTTATTTTATGAATTTTCTTTTTTATTATTCTGATGATTTAATTATGTCAGGTGTTTTTTTGGGTAATTAAACATTATTTAATCTTAATATTATATATAGCTTATTTTATTAAATAGTACCTCTATATTTTGGAAAATGCTGATATTTTTTTTTTTTAATAAAAATATCTTAACATTAAATTGCCAATAGAATGAACACTTTGGGTTTCTAGTAATATAATTAATATTTCTAATTTAGAATACATAATATCTAATATATAT